TCCTCACTATGCGTGCGGTTTCTAAAATATAATAATAATCATTATTATTATTGTTATTTAGTTAGGTTCTTAGCGTGTTGAATAATCTATCCATATAGCTTGTATTTTCAATTAAATATTTCCTACTGAAGTAATCTCAATAAACAATTAGGGTCGGTTTTAAGTGAAGAGTGAAAGGACAAAAAACATATTAACGATGGCATTTACTTTAGCGAGGTCGCAGAGTACTTAACGTTCACGTCTAACGGAAATCAATAACTGAAGGTACACTAAACATTTATTACGTACATCCTGTTAAGATTACTGTTTAAGTAATTTGTGAATGCACGAAATATTAAAAGGTTAAAAGCTTTAGCACACTGCCACCAAAGCGAACCAATACCGAAGCGAACATAATTTTTATACGACTACTGGTTTGTTGCCTGGTAAAGGCGGGGGGGCTATTACATGCGATAGCATCCCCGTAGCCTATTCAAAATATCTGTGAAGAAAATTGTAAAGTTTTTATTAGGCGCAAGTTTGAAATAATCCACTTTTACCCCTTAAAGATATGCTTATGCATTATTGCATTATTTTCATGTTTTTTGGTTTACTTTTCGGTCCCTGTTCGCTTTTGTGGTAGTGTACTAAAGGCGTTAATTATTTTAGTGGTCGTGTACCGATGTTGATTACCTTACTCTGATTTCGTTCATATCAATACACTCGTAATTTATACATCAGTTCACTTCTCAAGGAAATGTAGTTCATTTAGATATCACAGCTTGTTTTATATAATTGTAAAAATACATTTTTTAATAGACTTGACCTATATGAGCATTATTACAGAGTTTTACTTTCGACGTAATTCAAATTTATATTTAGTTCAGTTTAGTAAACGCTTCTATAACCTTTAACAAAATATAAAGATTGCTTAAAATATTTTCGTTTTTTTAGGTAGGATTTTGTACTTACGAATAATTTATCATAATCTAATAAATACGTTTATTTTCTAACCGTACAGTGAATAGTACATCACAGTCGACTCAGAGAAACGGCGTGCAAAGGCAATGCAGTTTAGAAGGTTCCCATTAATAGCCCGACAACGTGAGTGATAGTCCACGATCTCGCCAGACGGGATCTCTCCTTTCACTGAAGTAAACTCACTTTTTATTTAGACCTGTTTCGATTACGTAATCACGTATTTAAGGTTTTACAACTAAAGCATACAAAAGATTAGTCTCTATTTTAGTAGTCCTTATGGACTAAAGTGTAAAATAAATGATTTAGAAATTAAATACTCTTCTGTCGACGTGACATTTGATTATATCAGTGGAACAAAAGTGTAAGTACCTTTCCAACAATAACTTCTAAATGATACCATAAAGATATGCTGACGTCATACTTAGTAAAATATCATAAATGAGTAACGAAGTGACCAAGGCCTTGTTAGTTCTTCCATTCACTTGTTCAGTCTCAATTCGAATTGACAGCCGAAACCTCAACTGCCGAGGATATAGTTGTAATGATATTTGGCATTAGGCAATTAGCGTCTAAGGCTGTTCTTTAATATATGTATAGTATGAGTACATACCACTCAACACAAAATATTATTCTGATCTAATCTGATTAGAATAAAAATGTAAAAGTAATGTACACTATTCTTCTGTCTTTTTAATGAAAACGGAAAACATCGAAATTATCGTTTTTTCCCTTATTATAACGATTGTATTATGGTACTTAAAAATAACTAAAACATTCACTGAAAATTGTTCAAAATAAAAATAAAATCATTAAAATACGATAATGTAAACATAAAATTAAAAAAAATCATGTAATTTCATATTTAAAATTAAGGTTAATCTTAAAATTCAATTCGGGTTTGAACTAAAATGTTATATCTCAATCACGTATACAGTAACGAATCCGTAAAGATTTCGTATAAGGTACAAATGTACACGAGACCACAAAAAACCAACACCATAAAGGTAATGTAAGTCGACGTACTCTAATTAAATACTTCGTGAGTTTACTTATAAAGTAAAACTGTTTTAAATTCCTTACAAAAAAATTATAAAATAACATATCAGTCTTATAATTGCAATGAACAGAACAATATCTGCCATTTATTTCAATTAATACTTTTAAGTAGATATATTAACAAATGAAAATGTAAACAGATTAAAAAAAATGGTTATGTAGAAATATATGAAACTTAGTCCATAAATGTAATCACGTCATACTATTTGTCAAATTTGACTAACCCATTTTGCGACGGTCGTGATGTTTTTGCACCGTTAGTTCGTGAGTACATCTATTCACTTAGCTTTTACCGTCTTTATGTAAATGCGCAGTCATTGATTCCGAGAATATAATTACTGTTATTTGTCAAACACAAATTGAAATCAGCGACAAAGCCATTATTTAAATCGGTGACCTCTTATTGACATGCTTGTAAAACTGTAATCTAACAAAGTTATATCTCGTTTTTCTTTTTGTAATATAAGGTGGAAACGAGCTAGCGGCTACCGAAATGGAAAGAGACCACTGCCCATAAACATCCACAATTGCAGATGCGTTGCCTACCCTTAATTGAAGGAGGAGGAGACGCACTTAAAGAGGATATTTCCCTTACTATACGTCTCCTCCATTGTCAAATCCACTTTTCCTTCCCATCCTTTTCTCTTAAACAAAGGGTGGAAAGGGAAAGGGACTAAAATTAGGCCTCCACACTCATCAGACGAAACGCGGAATTGCTTCCACTTCACGTCTGTCTTCAGTGTGGTCATGCGTAAAGCGAGCCGGCCCATTCGTGCGATGATGTTAAAGCGGGCTCTACCACTGTGAATTCACTGTGAATGGCTCGTATTTTACTATTGTAATGTCTATGCTAAAACGACTGAAATTCATCTGAGGTTATTTTTGTACAAATTATTAACCGCGTTTATAAAGTTCTATTTGTCAGATATGCTTCAAATCATACACTCTAAGTACTTTATGTGGTCACGATGGTTTTCGTTACATTCGTCCTACATTCGGTGATTGTACGGCGTGCTGTATATAATTACGTGGTTTCATACAAATATTTATTCGTGACAATATTCTACGTAAGTTATCGTAGAATATACCGAACGGATATGTACCGTACGGGTTCGGTCAGTCGTTGAATAAATTGAATATTTATCGACGACCTCTTTAAAAGATAAATGTTTTAAAAGCTTTTTAACGCTCAATGTAAAAGAGTTCTAGATTATTTTGAGGCCAGTTAAAGTTGTAATAGTTGTAAAAAATACATGCCCTTTTTCTCAACATTTATATTTGTTTATGAAGATTTCATAATTTAATTTGGCCTAACAGTGACGAAATGCAAACAACAAAACCCAATCAAGGCAATTACTGCAATCAAATATTGATTTATTGTATTTTATGCAGGTATATACTCGTATTTATAATGAAATTAAGTATCTTTAAATCAATCACTTTTTATTATATGCAGTAGGTAGTTGTAGTTTTTTTGTTTTGTAATACACCATACAGAATTTTTAAATTTAGAATACTATAAATAAAGTCACCGTCGCTGCTGCACTTAGAGTCAATAGTTGGTCACTAAGACATGCCGTTAATTTAAATAAAAAAATAAGGTTATCTTTCATTATGGTACCTCATTCTAGTAACCAGTCATAGTTATATTGAAACTTCCATATGTTGCAATACATTTTCATGTATCATTAACAAGTTGTATTATTTCAGGGCGCTAATATTAGCGCTGTGGGGCACATACGCCGCCGCCTTGGCGCCACTGAACATCCCTGCCGACGATGGCTGCGCCCTTTACCTCACCGGCCCTGGTCGTTCCTCAGCCTACGACTACAGCCTTAATCTTCTCAAAGGAAACTTGTAAGTATAAACAAATACAAGGGATGAGCATCTAATCGATTGAAACAACGACATAGCTATTAACTACCAACTTGTGCTTATAAGAAGCTAACGGTTCAAGTACTTAGCATTTTTTAATTAATAATTATAATAATATTCACAGAAATGTAAATTGTGACAGGTGTAAACAGAGTTTAACAGCAGTCCTCTCAGCATGAATACAGATAAATCTTAATAAATTAACTGTTAATTTATCACTAATACATTTTAATGGATATTTTAGACACAAATTATTTTTAACTACTAATGTTTTGATAATAGCAGGAACTTATTTCAACATGTAAAAATAGTTAACATGCCGTATATCTTATTAACGTTATGAATGTGAAAGTTTGGATGGATGAATGTATGTGTGTCAGAATTTGTAGCCTCAAAGGCTGAACGGAACTGGATGAAATTTGGCATAGATGTAGAAGATAGTCTGGAAAAACACATAGGCTACTTGCTTTTGTTTTTATTAATATCACGCGAATGGAGATGCGGCAAAAGCCAGTGTTATATATTTTAGACAGAACAATGTATTCCTTTGAGTGAATGAAAACATAAATCACGAGCACAAAGCGAACTGTTTGTCTCGTCAGTAAACTTGACACAGTCTCGCGGCACACTTAACATTTCTCCATCTCTATTCAACGTCGGTCGTTGTTTTAATAGCTCACTTGTTTCGACGCTCGTTATGTTTTAAATGGTTTTCGTGTAGCATAATACCAACTAAGATTACAAAACACACGTCATTTTTAAATGTTATTTACGTAAACTCTTCATTGGTAATGAATGCGAATGTAAACACTCTCTTTCTTGCTGCTAATCGCGTCTTTAGAAATCCAAATGCCCTTCACTTTTGGACACTTGTGAGCTCTTAATTATTACATATGTTAAAAAATGACATTCTATGTTGACGTTTTCTTTGCACATTTATGTCACTAATACAAAGGCAGTGCACTTTAATTGGTACTGTGAGCAGAAGATTAACTCTGTTCTCGATTTGTCATATCAATGTTGGGTATAAAATAAAAACACGTACTTCAAGCAAGGCTGTCCCGGCTCTTTTTTCATTACTTGAATTTATCTCTGTCATCTGAAGATTATCTAATTCTTATCTGAAAGGATAAGTGATTTATTTGACCGCATGCGTACATTTCGTGCGTCACGAGCTGACCCAATCTGACGTAAGTAATGTAACATCCCATCAACAATGCCGCGATCTCGCAAGTTACATTAGGCAATTCACGTTCACTTTCAAATCCTTTCGCTTAATCTTTTACTGTAATACTGGACTGGTTTTGAGCGCGGCAAAAAAAAACATACAATATGTGTTATGTTGAATTTATTATGTTATGATTGATTTGTGCAATACCTGTAAATTATAAATGACCTAATTGTTTTAACGACATAGTACATTTTTAAACTAAACTATCTTGAAATATTAGCAAACTAAATAATTATGTTACACGGATTTTTTAAGAATTGAGTTGTAATAATGATTTGAATTTAAACATTTATCGCCAATATTAAATCAATATTGCAAGAAAATAAATTAAATATAAACGGTTAAGAGCAATGTTTTATTATAAATATTTATTGTGCTTTATTTATCGGCATTATAGGTGTAGCCCTTTAAGGTTATCAAGTATGTCATCATAACTGTCCGAGGTGGCATGTGTCGGAGTTATCCGGTACGGTCAGGTGCTTCTAACGGATTCTCTCGGACGTCGTTTGTTCTGCACACTATTAGGTACAGTACTGTAACTGGAAAAAAACCATGAAGAATGGCGTTTAAATTGTTTGAGGACAAAAATAAAACGGTGATGATGCCTTAACTATCCATTGAAAACTTTAGAATATTTAAAATTGATGTGATTTTGTGTGGCTCGCAAATATTAGACTATATTAAATTAAAATGCTTCTGTTATCGATAATATAGCTTTTCATTTCTTAATTATGATCGAAACAATAAGTCAGGAAATTTGGACTTATTTATCCAAAAAAAACTTCACTTAGCACAATGTTTTGATGTAAAATATAAAATTACTATAATTTATCAAAAAAATTACATTAAAAATGGTATTAAAAATTGCGAAGACAAAAAACAAATAATCATCGATCAATTGATTCTTGGTCGTAATGTGAGACATAATTCAGTACCGTTACCGTCAGACTAACGGACACGACCACTTTTGTTGACATATTATAGAAATTCACACAACAAATCGAGTTGAGATACGTGCTTCGTCCACTTTCTATAGCATCGGTCACGCCCTGCCCGTATCATACGTAGAAACACCGGTAATATCAATTCCGGTTTAGATTTCTTCTTCCTGATAATATGATACCGATAGTTTTATATAATTATGAAAACGATGGAATTTTTATATCTTAAATTAGCTTTTGCCCCAGCCTATGTATTCTTCCAGCCTAACGATAGTTTATGGTAGATGTAGAGGACTACATTTGTGCCAAATTCCATTGAAATGCGTTCAGTAGTTTAGGCTACAAACTCTAACAAACATCCATCCATCCATCAAAACTTTCACATTTTTAATATTTTTAGTTTAATGGTATTTCATTTTATGCAAATCTTGGTTGTGACTATTTTAAAAAGGCACTACAAACCGCAACTGTTGTTTTGTGTTTACAATATTTCTTCATTTCATTAGGATAAATGTTGTTAAAATACGTATTACGTAGAATAATTTAAATCTATCGTTAAGTTACATTGTGATGTGTTTTATGTAAATTTAAGGTGAGTTTATTTGTAATGCAATTTAGCGATGACTTTTGAGGTTATTTTAGTGGATTCCGTTCAAATACGTTACGTATGGTCAGACACTTTCTCAGAATACAAATGAATGTTGCATTATTTAATACTCATCATAATTTAGTGAACATCACTTTTGGAACGGAACATGTAATTGCATTTATGTAACAAATCTGAGTAAAAGCAAAAAGCTTAAAGCAATAAATTGAAATCAAATGTCGTTACGAAGTGTACAAATATGCAGACGCTCCTTAAAGAGTAGAAATGTCTAAAGCACGTTGTGAAGCATAAATTAGAATTGATTTGAAGTTGTATACAGTTCTTAGAGGCAACTTCCTTATTTACTTTCAGTCTTACAAATTGTGCTTATCAAAAACGATAAATAGGTCTCTTTTATTTATTACTAGCTGTTCCCATGCGACTTCATTCGCATAAAATTATAAAATTTTCATTTTATTGTTCACATTTGTCAAATTATCAATTGCAAATGTCAAAATGACATGACATGATGACAAAAAATGGCAACCTTGCTTCCTTGATGTTGGCAATAACTTATGGTCTCTTTCCTACATTAAGGTTTTTATCCAAAATATTTACCCCTAAGTTTAACGGCGTGAAAATATATAGTCCATAGCGTGACGTAAGTGTAGGGGTTTTTATTAAAAAAAAGAGTTATCCAAAAATATGCTGTAATTGCTGACATCTTAGGCAACAAAGAAGTGTGTGTTTACGCTTTATTATAATAGTATAGATGTCTAATTTCAATTGCGATTAAATGTGCGTGGCATTTACAAAAAAAAACAACTATTTTACATTTAGCTAGATATGTTAGAGTTTAAGAGATTTTGTAGGTATGTGTAATTTTTCTCCTTTAAAAAAAACAACTTAAAAACTTCACGCAAGTCACTATATTGAAATCTATCTATTTATTTCAATATAAATCTATGTTAAAATATTCAAGTCGTGTAAATCGTTAGCCGGAAAGAGAGTTTGCGTAAAATATAAATGGATTTGTTAACACCTATTTCTGATTAAATGTTAAACAATCATTTACAATGCCAAAGTTCGCTGACATCTATTGAACTCATTTGTTTGTACATAAAATAATCGAACTTATGATTATACAAGAATCTTCTTCGTAGCAACTATCGATCTATTTATCGTGCATTAACATATGAAAGAAGTTTTAAAGTTGAAAATATAATAAACATTATTCATAGTAGGTAAGTCTAAAAATAGATAGATGAATTGCTTGAATGATGTCATGATCAAGAAGGATGTAACAACTGAGATGACTGAAGATAGCATTAACCTGGAGAACGAAAACTACGGAAACTGTAGAAGTAGGATAAGGATTGAAAGATGATGGTTCAGAGGTATACTTGGCACTAACTTTTTTCATTTTATTCCAGCGGTTACGATGGTCAACACAGCTGCATCACTTACGACGCCATCAACCAGGCCTACCTCGATGCTAGGAATAGGATCCGTGAGTATAACATATTGAGTTTCAAATATTAACAAGACATGGCCGTAAACTTTATTTCTTAAAACAATGTTAGCTTCCGGTTAATATATTCGTACTAACTTGTGAAATATAACTGTACCGCGATAATAGTGAACAGAAACAAACCTCAAATAACGCGTATGTGTGAAAATGTGGGCGCCGCTATATACTTTGTTTGTGTAGATAAGTGGCAAAGAAATGTACCGCATACTGGAAGTGACACATTGATTTTTAAAATGCTTAAATTTTAAAATGATGTTTTTTGACCGACTTCCCAAAAGAAGGAGGTACTCAAATCGTTTGTATGTCTTTTTTTATATGTTTTAAAATAGTTTATCGTTTTTTTTTTATTCAGTGGTGGCTCAACCGAAGGGTGATTGGAAGCCGGAGGACTTCGCAAGCGTTGGTGAACTAATGCTTGACATTTCGATACAACTGGCTAGAACGTAAGTAATATTTCATTATTATAAAAACAATGTTAAAGTTATAACTATCTATTCGTTACTGTTAAACTTTATCGACAAGACGGTGAATGCTTTCACATATTGTAATCACTAAAAGCGTTAGTAAGTCTATGTTCCTTTTTATTAAATTAAAATCGCTGTGCAAAAGGAAGCAAATAAATTTTGCACTGACAACACTAACATTGAAGTACAGACTTCACAATACGTTCACGGAATATTCTAAACCGACGATTTAAGATGGTCAATGCTAACATAATCTGTGCTAATTAAAGGAACATCTGTACAAAGAACGGCGCTTTGAATTCTCTATTCGTGCACCACTACATAATGACCAGTCAGTATTTTGACTGATCATTACTTACTTGGCCTTACCAGATTTTCTATTCTCTAACCTGGTTTGAATTAATGACAATACATACTTTTGCTATGCTACAAGGTTGGCTATTATGACCACGCCATGAGATCCGTACTTTTGTCTTCTTTGACTTGAACTGATTGATTAAACCAAGGACATCATATCCGTCACGATCCGGAACAAAATTAAATGTAAGACTTTTTAAATTTGGAACAATTGATCACGATAGCTTTATATGAATGGAATTTGTGCGTGCGTTATATTTAAAAGTTATTGCATCATTTATTATGATCGACTTCGGAGTTTAGTATTTCTATTTAAGATATTTTATTTTGAACTTTACGTGAGTTTTATTTATATTTATTTTCATCTTCCGAACTGTTTATCTCGAAATTTCGACAGTTGCCCAATTGAACTGCTGTAAACTGACATTTAAAGAGTAAGAGGGAGTTTTAAATGTCATATTTAAATTAATAGTTAAACAGTAGTTATAGTTTGCCGGATGAATGACTAATAATTTGTTACTTTCAAGCTTAGTCCAAGGATTATGGGATCAAATTTAATTGGGATTTTAAAAGGAAACGTATACAAAACTACGGATGTAAGTTAACTAAAATTCTACGCGTTGACATTTGTAATCATTTACATAGGAAACCAAAATTGAATATGCATTTACTAATGTAATACACTGAGATAAGCTATAAATTAGTCAGTTCTTGTAGTTTAGTTATGTCAGTTAAGTCATGATACCTTAACCTACAAATTTTCAAAAAATGTATCATATTTCATTTTTTTAATACGTTACTTTTTAACCTCTAAAACTCAATATTACATTTCAATACGTCTGGAATTAGTATTACAGAACCAATTTTTAACAAGACACAAGTTAAAATTTTTAATTAGATTGTTTACATTATTCTTATTAATGTTTATTATCAAGAAGGTCATATACGTGTGTGAAATCTCCTTTGATAGACGTATCTAGGTTTTTTACCTTCATTAATGATTTCAAAGTAGATCCTTCTATCTTCTAACATGATTGATGCAGCCTATTGTTGTTTTTAACATTTGAAGGCTGCGACTGTCATTTCGAGTGTATTCTAGTAGCTTAAATGGTAGAATTATAATGAGAACACATAGTTAAGTAGACTTGTATACTTTTTTAGAAGACGGTTATGATTGTAATTTAGTTTATTTAGAAGTTTTTTATTTATAAAATTGCCTTATTTAATAAATGTACAACTTTACTTACCATTTTTCATTTTAATTAACAGTTAATTAGTAATTTCATAACATTAATGTGAAATAATCAACAAAATAAAATTAAAAGTTCAACTAGTGTAATTTGTAATACTTTTGGGATCATGACCTTTCTCGTTTTAATTTCTTTTTCATGGAACGTAAAACATTATGACCAAATATTTTTTTTTTCGGTCAATGTTACACCACGCAACGTAATTATGTTAATCGCTTAACACGTGTGCTCCCATTTTGTTGAATTGCATTACAAATATGGCAACTTTATTTCATACAAAGTTTATGACATTTTCATAAATTAAAGCATTTTTATAACATTTCTACTAATTCTGAAACATCCTATACATTGTACAGACAATGATTCTTGTAATTAAATTCCATCATCGTTCGTCTTCGTTTCTGCCCGATTTGTATTAATCACCGGAAGAAATTGAAAATCCGACTCATGTGAATCATCAAATGTAGAAAATTCACACGGGTCAATTTTTTATATAAGCGTTTTGTCGGCTTAAATCATTAATCCGATTGATTGACGCAACTCAATAAGTTATGAACTCTATAATGAAGTACACACGACATATAAATTTAATGTTACATGAACCTTGATACACATTCCATATTTGTCACTGACCTCGATCATACCAAATTGTTGCCGCTGAAGATTAATGTACGGTAAAGAATTGAATAATAAAACTGTTTCTAATTGCAGTGATTAACTAAATTTATTGAAATGTATTAAACACTTGCTTATGTCCGTATCTCCGTCCGTGGGAAATTTAAAAAATAGTAGATTATCCTATGTGTTTTTCCAGACTGTTCTGAATCAGTGCCAAATTTCATCAAGAACATTCACTCATCCAAAGATACGCATTTATAATACTAGAATATGAAGGCAGTTTCTAATCTTACTTCTTACTAATATTATAAAAAAAATTAGATGAATGGATGGATGTTTTTTAGAGTTTGTAACCTAAACACCCGTTTACCCAAACGGATCTCGATGAAATTTGGCATACTTAGAGGATAGTCTGGAAGAACGCATAGGCTACTCACTTTTGTTGTTTTCTAATTCCACGCGGATGGAGTCGCGGGCAAAAGCTTGCAGACAAATAAATGTAAATTTTAGTTTGCTAATCACAAAAACAAAGCCTTAAATATGAAAAAAGTCTCAATAGCATTAGTTGTACAATACAATTATTTAAAGCGATTTTGTGTCATATTTATTGTTTATAGATATGGTCTGACATACGAGGAGATCGAGAAAGGTCTACCTCTGATTGACACATCGCGCACGCTCATCCGTGAAGTGTGCCCGCCTGTGTTCTCGCACGTGGAGTGCCGCGCCGGCAAATATCGACGTCTTGATGGCCTCTGCAATAATCTACAGCATCCCACATGGGGGGCAACTATGGCTCCCTTCCAAAGGTATTGTAAAACTTCTAATGACTTTTCAAGTGAACCTTAATCTTAAATGCATGATTTTTCTTTTTAAATACCATAAAATGAAACGAGTAGTGAATTGAACATAGATTAAGGGAAAATAAAGAAAAAATATTTTTTTTTCAAAATAGTCTATTATGTAAAGAAGAAAAGACAGATATATAAATGCATCATCATGAATTTTTTTCTATACTAATTTTAAAAGCCGAAAGATTTGTATTTTTCTATGTATAATAACTCAAAAACTACATTTTTACCACGCGGACGAAGTCGCGAGCACCAGCTAGTAAGAAATATATGAAAAAAGGACTGTGCATCTTGTTGCGTAACTTCAGTAACTTACACTAACAGCTTAGGTAATAGAAATAAAAAGTACTACAAAGAAATGTCCAGCACGTAAGATGCATCATTAACAGTCCTTTTAAATTGCTTATCATCAAGGAAATTATCCTGTGTTCTACTGCTTTAAGAGTTTTTCTATTACCGTGGATATAGAGTTTTAATGTTTTCCCAGGTTAATCGGCCCATTGTTCGCTGACGGTATAAATGCGCCCCGCATCTCTCATTCTGGACGGGATCTGCCACTGTCCCGTGTGGTCTCTCGCACTATGCACCCTGACGATGGATTCCATGACCACGCTGGCACCGTAATGGTCATTGCCTGGGGACAGTTCATGGACCACGATTATACTCTCACTGGTACACCGCTTGGTAAGTCCATACATTTGATAGATACCTTTTCCTATTATCACATTAGAAGACAAACGTTCCATCTCGAAGTACGGTTGGCATGATGTTATGCAAGATGCACCCATCGTCTGATCAAAGTTGTAGGAGTCAAATGGATAGAAATGTCAAGGGACTGATATTTATGAAGAACCCTGCAGACTTTGAGCAGGGGGAATTTCTAACAAAGCAGCAAAAACAGATGCTTTTGAATTCGTGATTCCTATTTTATATGGCATCTTAAAACGAGTGGCAATTTATGACTTTTTAATTTTTTATTTTCTCTTAGACCCTGTCCACCGTAATGACCCTGAGGAATGCTGCAAACGACCATTACATCTGAAACACCCTTACTGCAATGAAATCAGGATACCTGATGACGATTACTTCTACCGACTTTTCGGTGTCAAGTGCATTGATTTCGTACGCGGCTTCCCGTCTCCTAGACCCGGCTGTCGGCTTGGTAAGTAAATTTTGTCATCGAGATTGCAAATCATTACAAGGATAACTTTTTTATTTTAATCGTTGACTGTTTTATTGATCATCTAATAATTCTATTATAAACGACTTTGAGTATGACAGTCTACAGTTCTGTAGTACTTAAGGTTCATTTCACCATCAAAAGCTCAGACATTTAAAACAATACACGTATGATATCGTCCAAGGTCTAAGAGACAGTAAGGTGCTGGCCAATTGTTCCGTGTGATTAACATGCCATTTCGCACGGCACGAACTGACAGCTCGTCAAACTGATATCTTGTCCGACCACAATCGGTCGCTTGCGGTCGACTTACGAAATAACCGACACTATAAAGTGTTAATATGACTTTTACTTTCAAACATATTAACGTGTGAACTTAAACCAATAAGCAAATTGCGATTTATTGCCATTTTCGAAGCAATGAACTTAAACACAATGCTTTTGCAATGTTTCGTTTTTACGAAGCAGATGAGACGCTTACGCTTAGTTTATTTATATTATGTAGGTAAATCCTAACATTCATGAGAATAAAGCAACTTGTAAAAATAAAAACATTATAAGTTAAAGTTATAATGATTGTTATTAAATAATTAAGTAATAGATAAAGTTGACATACCAATTACTGTAAAGTAACACCCTGTTCAATTATGATGTGACATAAATTACTTAAGGCAGTGTAGTGAGAGGTTAGATTATATTTTTTATGTTAAATTATCCAATGGACCGTGGTGAGACATTAGACCGTGTGACCGGTCTCGCTTCGAACTAGGGCTGATACAGCTTTAGTTTTTTTCTATATTTTTATGCACTATATTTTTTTACGGAAAATGTAATGAAATATCCGGAACCAAAACATGCAATTTAGTTTTTTAAAGAATACTATAACTAAGTAAAAATACATACATTATACTACTTTACATAGTCAATAGTTTATTGTAGACCCTGTTGTTGGTCCAGAAACTAATTTTACTTGTATTTTCGTCGACGAATACTGAATCTCAATAGAGATTAATCCTTAACTTTCTATTTATGAACTTTTATTGAAGAAGAGAACATAGAGACAAGGGAAATACCTAAGTTCTGTGTGTCTCCTAATTTCTACATTAAAAGTAGGCAACGCAGTTGCTGTTTTTACTGGTTGCAGATGTCTATAGGCAACGGTCACTTTGCTTTTTGGTTAAATCAGGGGGAGCTTGCTCTATTGTTATTTTCGTTATTAAAAAATAAAAACAAAGTCTACATTACATTTGACAACCCTAAGTGAATCATCGTGAGGTTCGGTGAGAGGCGAAAGTGAATCCGTTACGTGCGGCGTGTAGCCGGCGCTCCCGGTTGCGTAAGGTGCGGAATATTGTTGTTGACTGTTGACCGCGAGGGCGCCAAAAACCATAACCTAAACTTTGTATCTCTCTTTATTATCTATGGTTCTGTATCTATGCCAGAATTCGGTATCGATCTAACCTCTATTAATAAATTAATCTTTAACTCAATAATTTATCCCTTACTAGCTTTCGCTCGCGACTCCGTCCGCGTAAAATTAAAAGAAACAAATGTTAGTTAGTCTATGTGTTCTTTTAGACTATCCTCTACATCTATTCTAAATTTCATCGAAAGCCTTTGAGCCGTTTAGTCTACAAACACTAACAAACATCCATCCATTTAAACTTTTGCATTTACAATATTAGTAGGATAGTAGTTATGAAGTATAATTACAAAAGGTCTAATAAACAGTTTTATTCAGTCCATTGCTGTCCAAAATAATTGTTATTAGAACGTGTGTTTTTTAATGTATAAACATTTTATCACAAAATCGACACACTAATAAATATGATCTTAGTAACCATAAGGTTGTGATGGGGTCACGAATTAATTCTCACATCTTAATGCTATGTTACGAGAATAAATCAACGTTTGCGTTGAACGTTCAGTGTAATCTGTCATTAGCGCGTTCTATAATTCTAAAACATAATACTCACGTATGCAAATGGCAATAAATAACACTTGTGTAAACGATGTTAAGAAATTAGCCGAGAAGATCATTAACTTAACATGGACCGTTGCTAAATGTTGCATTATTGTAAGCAATGCGTTCAAAATTCACTGCCACTAGATTCTATTAGCCAAAACTAAAATGTAGACTTACATTTCAAAGACGGTTGCTGTTTTTTGAACGTACTATGTCCTAATTAAACTCTTAAAGCGCGCACACCTTTGATTTTTTTTGAAACTATCGCACAACTGTGTAGTCTTCCTTTGATCCCTATGGGCTTATATGGAGGTGGGCACACTACTCGATTTTTAGTTGTGCAACTGAACAGTTGAATTGGCAGCGAAACAATCGACAATCACAATTATGCAATAGTTTAGTCGAAGGTGTGCCCGCTTTAAAGAAACCTAAAATATCGTTAATTAATAATATATAGTTTTTGCTACCCCTACATAGTTATGTAATTGCATTACATACGATTAATAAACAATTTACGGTATATGTTTTAAATAAAGTTATCATAAATTATAAATAAATTAATCTAGTCAGCTTAAATTAAATTGGAATATCTTAATCTAGGCTATTTGTTTATGTCAGACTAATAAAGTTTAAAACTAATAGCTTCACTTGCGGCTACCTTATTGGTATTTAAGTTAAGGCGAGTATTTTGAGTAACGTGACTGTTCTAACTTTAAGTTGTTCAAATATAACTAAATCGTCTATTATCATTTTAAACAACCGTAATATTGCTGTTAGACGTTTGTAATAGTTTAACGAGTTTGTAATGAGATGTATTAGCTATTGTTGTTTGGCTTTTAAATGTGAATTTGTACATTGTTTTCTGTTTATTACATTTACGATCATGCTACAATTATAATATATTCCTGTTTGTAACAAAAAATATGATTTTATTATTTGATATCTGTTTTAATTCATTTTGTCTTTAGGTTCAAGAATTCCCTTCAACACTTTGACTGGCGCGATCGACGGAAACACCGTGTATGGTGTCACTGACAAGTTTGCCAGGTAATTACAACAATTATTGAATTAAACTCTAACCGGAGTCATTTATTTGCAAGTAAATTAACTATTGACACACCGTTGACTGAACTGTCGCACAAATGTTGTGCGACTGTCAATTGTTTCGCAGCCCATTCAACTGTTTAGTTGCACAGCAGAAATCGAGTAGTGTGCACCTCCATATAAGCTCATAGGAATTAAAGCGAGACTAAATAATTCTGCGATAGTTTAATGATACAGAGGTCACTTTCAAGGCCTCCTGAATATTATGCCTTAACCCCATTAATAAAAGATAGGTGTCGTACGATTTATTTTCTTTCAGTAGTCTTAAGTCTTTCTATATATTGATATTTTTTATTAAATTTTAATTTGTGTGAGCTATTGAACGTTAAGATTTGTTTCTCATATAAATTTTACGATCATGTTTACTACTTTCTTAATCAGTGAATGTTATTCTGCAAACTAAATAACTGTACCTTTCTTTTTCTTAATTCCGGTAACATCTGATAAACAACCGACTATGCGACTGGCTTTACACTGATGAAAGTTTGTTTGGGAAATAAAACTAGTTAATGAATCAACATATGTATAACTATTCCAAAGCATTAACGTGTTGAATAAACCCAGTCGGCTGGATTTTATCAACATCAAAAGTAAGCATTTTGCGGAGTTTATTTGGTTTATTTGGAATAATTAATATAACCTTTATAAATCTCCTATCTTCTGAAGAGATTAGAATCTATTAAGTAGAAACAAAAGGTGTATGTATATCGAATCTGATATGCGGATAATAGTCAAGTACTTAATCTAGTTATTTCTATTAATTTAATAGGTTGTTCGACGAATAGTTTAAAGTCAGGAGTAAGTTCGTGTAATCTTTAATACTCTACTCTTATTTCAGGAAACTGCGTACGGGCTACGGTGGACTTCTTCGTATGAACCCAGTGTTCAAGGAATACGGTCTCAAGGATTTGCTTCCATTAAAGCTTGACATTCCCGATGAGGGCTGCACGCGACCTAACAAGAACATGTACTGCTTTGAAGCTGGTATGTAAAGAACTTTTTTATTTTTAAAAACGATGTTAATCTCTACAATAGCTTAGTTATGGAGTGGGCGTAACTATACACCTACTGGTCTATGGTAATTTTCAAATTAAACTTTGCAACACTAACGCCAACGCAAAACATATCACCTAGAGAAATAGAAAGATGACATTCTCTTGCAGAAAACTTACACACGTAATATAACGTAGAGTCGTCAATATAAGGCAACAATAACCATATGGTTAACACTTTTTTTTGGCAAATGACAAAATTATAAATAATCTACTAATACTCCTAATAATTTCCTTTAACCAATTCAACTAAGATTTATGGTGATGCTAGGACGTGGTATACAACAATATTCGAATGGTAGGATTTGAATCCTTGACTGCAAGATTGGTAGTTCGTACCCCAAACCATAAGGCTATAGGCGCTTATTACATTGGATCAAGTGATATCGGGTTCGAATCACAATCGACGGTTGAAACCATGGTCTAGAATTTAGTTGGCGTGATTTGAGGAAAAGTATTTTTCATAAATAACACAATAACTTATTGTTTTAGGTGAAATTCGTGTGAATGAACAACTCGTGTTAACTGTGATGCACACTTTGATGGCGCGCGAGCACAACCGCGTGGCGGAAGGCCTCGCCGCCGTCAACCCGCACTGGGACGACGAGACCCTCTTCCAGGAGGCGCGCAGGATCAACATCGCCGAGATACAGCACATCACATACAACGAATTTCTACCCATCCTATTAGGGAAAGATGTTATGGAAAAATTCGGTTTGGTGTTAGAGAAACAGGTAACACTTTGAATAAAAATTAACAGGATTTGGTTTCTGTCATCATTTAAAAACGGTGATGTAAGCAAATTATTTTAATATTTGTTTTATTGTATAGTGGTTATATAAATATTGTTTACAGGGTTACTGGAATGGTTACGATCAGGAGGTAAACCCGGATGTGATCGCAGCTTTTGCAGCTGCCGCCTACCGTTTTGGACATTCTCTTTTACCAACAGCTGTCGAAAGATGGTCAAAGGCTCACAAATTTATTGGTACTTTTTACTTATCATACGTTGAATTAACTTAAATCGTTCTATTCGTACCTTTGCAGCTAATGACTTACTTAAATAAATATTGTATTGCAGCTTCTAAACGATTGTCCGATCTTATCAGAAGACCCTACGATCTGTACAGAGCTGGAGTTCTCGATGAATATGTTATGGGATTGATGAACCAAGTGGCACAAGCTATGGATGATTCCATCACGCAAGAAGTAACAAACCATTTATTCAAGAAAGTAGGAGCTCGTTTTGGAATGGACTTGGTATCGTTCAACATGCAAAGAGGTCGTGAGTTCGGTCTGCCCGGATACATGGAATTCAGAAAGTTCTGTGGCCTTTCTGGTGCTGATACATTCGACGAATTATTTGGATCTATGCCTAACGAGACCGTCCGCAAATATGAAACTATATTCGAACATCCAGTCGACGTTGATCTATGGTCCGGAGGCGTGTCCGAACGTCCTCTCCCAGGGTCCATGTTGGGACCAACTTTCGCTTGTATCATCGCAACACAATTTTCTTACTCGAGACGTGGTGATAGATTTTGGTAAGATTTTTAAAATAACTTGTTTTAGGTATTCAGTTATTTAGATTTTATCTTTTAAATCTCACTTTTGTTTCTAGGTTCGAATTACCAAATCAACCTTCATCGTTTACTCCAGAACAACTTTTGGAAATAAGGAAATCTCGACTTGCTCGCGTTATCTGTGACAATACCGATATTATTGACACTGTTCAGCTCTACCCGATGGTGTTACCCGATCACGAACTGTAAGTAACCTCAAAACATCCATAGACAAATAGAATTTTTTTATTTTGTTATGATGACGGTAAATTATAACTACCTATTTTATTTTCACAGAAATCCTCGTGTTCCGTGCAGAAGTGGTATAATACCACAAATGGACTTTAGTAAATGGGCGGACCCAGTTCCGTTTCACGGCGCGGCGAAGCAGTTTGTGAGTAGTTTCACGTATAACCCGTTTTTGGGCAAAAAGTAGTGACACCTGCACCAAGTATTTATTAAAAACTTTGTAGTCAATAGTCATAGATGTAGTTCACCGTAATGCAATTCAATTAGAGACAATATAAACAAGACGAATGACTTTTTGATAGAAAGTGCGTAATTGAAGAAGCGTCTAGTTTACACGTATAATAATAATTAGATTTACTCGTAATTCTTTACTTTTATAATTGTTTAATTGATGTCACTCTTATTCGGGTATGTACAAAGCATTGAACACAAAAATGTGAATAAAAACATGTTTTAATAGCGTACCATGATAAGTACCTAAAAACCTTTTAAATATGTCATTCTCTTTTACTTGAACTATTACCACAAACCTTGTAATTATTTAAAAATGAACTCTTGTAGAAAAAAAGGTTAAAAACCAATCAAGTGCCTTATCAAGTATCTAACTGAATAATTAACTAATATTATTTGATGCATGTTTTTTTTTTATTATTTCCGATGTTTGTGGTATAGTTAATAACTGCTCAATAATGTTAAGTTTAGTATCGGCATTATTGCGTAGTTTTAAACGAATCATTAATTTATAACCTAGAATTAAATAAATTTGTACAAAATGTATTTAGAAAATAGCATAGATCCGCTTAATTGTCATATTTATGTAGATAAATATATTGTAGTTATGTTTTTGATACCTTATGTTTGTTAGATTTTATATTAAAATAGTTTGTGTAGCAATGCTTACCGTAGAATATATATTTTTTAAATTTATATTTTTGTGAACAGCTGAATTTAGCTAAAAATATCCACTAACAATTTTTGTTTCATAAAAATGAATTAATAAAGTTTGAATGTTTCTTGCCTGTATTTTGTAGTTGTAATTGTTTATTAAATTAAGAAGAGACTAACATAAGTATCATAGTTTGCGAATTTGAGGAAAAAATATATGCACACAAATCTTAGGATTATAAGTTTGTTGTTTTTTATTTATTTTATAGTGAATGATTTATATTTTATTATTAACCCTAACACTAAATGTACTTTTTGTAAATACACAGAACCGTAATAAATAATAGTAATGGCACCATTGTTTTATTCAATCACCCAAAATATGGTAATTAAATTTACAACTTAAACTATATATTTTACTAAATAATACAAATTACAGATAACTGTCGCAGTTACAATGTCTAATGGAAATCAAAATACTACATTGGATAAACCACCTCAAAATGCCACAATAATAAAGAGTATCACAAATACTACCAATGACATAAATGAAGAATCTAATTCAACTATTAATCAACAAATCATTGAAATACTAGATAAAGATAATCAAAATGTAACAGAGAAACCTACAGGTAATGATTCCCAAACGGTATTAAAAGAACAATATATTGCTGAATCTGACTTAAAACAAAATCATACTAATGATACTCTTATGAAATACATATACAAGAAAAATGAAAAGGTAAATCTTCCAGAAAAATCCAAAGGACATGATCAAAATAGCCTGAAAAGAAAGAAGAGGTTCATCAATTCCTCTGACTCAGACATTGTTCCCAGACCACAAAATCTACCAGTTTCAATAGATTATGTAGATATCGATCACGCTAAGGTTAAGGAAGAAATATTTTTACCTGCAACACGAACGGGAGGAATTGTACAAAGTTCTAATTTAGCAGATTTTAATATAGAGACAATTCACAACGATAAAACAAAATCAGCTAATGATGACACCCATAAGGAAAATATCAATCCCAAAGCGCAAATAATAACGAAATTTTCTCCAAATCTTGATGAAACTAAAGAAGAATCTCAAGAAAGTGTTGAAAACCATGAAAACAAATACCGTTTGGAAAAGAGGCCACAAAATAAGGATTCCGGTGAAAATCGAAGCCAAAGTGAAGAAATCTCTAGCAGCATTGAAAGTGAACATAGCGTAGAATTGCCAAATACTTCAACATCCATTGAATATATTGGAGAAAGTAAAGAAACGGAGATGTACAGAGATAGTATTAACCCAATCCCACCCAAGAAACCCCAAAACGAAAAAAATCAGGAGTCAGATAAGGCTTATGAGTCGTCAATAGAAAACAGTAGTGAAACCAACCACGAGTACACCGGAACTATCGAATCTAGTGAACTTCATAGTAATCAAGGAAATAACTCAAATAGCGACAACTCTCCACTAATAGTACCAAAGCAAGATTACGTTAATCATGAAATTAATAAAGATAATGTGGATGGATTCCCATTACTTTCTCGTGAAAATTATACTAAAGATGTTGGCACAGACTCTTTGGAGACACCTAAATTAAGCGAAAAAGTGAGTGATGAGAGTAAAAGTGATGAAAATACAGAAATATATACAGACTCTCGTTCTGTAGAAGAGTTAAAGGATACTAAAAGTGAAAAGCAAACCCGTATTAATGATGACGAAGTCAAACCTGTTGTAGAACTTAATAATGGAAGCATCGAGTCAAGCGAAGAAATTTCAGACGAAGATGTTAATTTATATTTAAAAAATAACAGTAAACTAGTTTCACTCACTCCCGTAAAGAACGTTGATACAAAGAAAAAGGATGCTTCAGCGCAAAGTGATAATTCAGAAAAAGTTGACGTTAAACAGCAGTTTGAAAGAATACCCTTAGATTACAATCATGCAAATGAAGAAATCAAAAATAATTCCAGCAATACCACAGCCTCCCAAATCAAACCGACCGCAATATCAAGTGAAGAGAAAGACAAAGAAGGTACTTTAGATACATTGACGCCGTTAAATCCTACATATGACGATGAGTTAAACGTAAAATTCCATAACGTGCCTATAAAACTTCCAGAAATAAAATTACCCGAAGACATTTTGTCTTACGCTTACGATGGACCTTATTATGAAACAAAAACACGCAAAGATAAAGATGCTCAAAAACAAAAATTCTACTACAATTACGAAGATGACGATGTAGATGAAAATCCCAAAGAGAAATACAGCAAGGAAGATGATTTTTATGATTATTACAAAAATGATAAAGAATATGATAATGTAAAACGGAACAGTAAAATAAAGAACGAAGAAGACGACAATGAAGATCTTTATGAAAAATTCGTTAGGGAAAGATTTGGGAAAAAACCTATGAAGCAGAGATCCGAAAAAATACAAGTTGAACGTATTCCATCTAAGTTAAAACTTCGTAAAACATTAAAAAACATTCTAAAAAAGACTGAAAATGTAAAGAAAGAAGCCGAAAAAAGTGGAGATCCCAATGCTAACTATATGTGGACACTAGAATATGGCGAAAATCTGTAATGAAAATAGTTTTATGTAATCTTATCGATGTAGTTTAATTAAATTATTAATTTATATTTTTTGGTTATTTAAAAGTATCCCAATCTCCGACATGCCAAATACAATTAATGATATGAAATAACATTTTATTGGTGCAAATATAAGTTAAAATAGTATCATCCTAGTACTTGATATGGATAATCTCGATGACAATACAATATGTATAAACATTAACTGTTAATTATAAATTAAAAGCATTAAAACTGTTCACCTCTACTTCATTATCATTAGTATTGCAATCTACAATTTTTAATTTCTCTTTTCGTCCATTTTTTCATCGTATTTTGATTCTAAAAATAATGTTGTTTCTTAGTCTCAACCAATGCGGTTTTATTTTGTTAATACAGATTATTAAAACATCTTCTTCTTCTTTTAATAATTTTTCTCATTCTTCATTTGATAAAAATATTTGAAAACCTGTTTTTAGTTGGTAACAATTTAATTTTATTGCCTACTAAAAAAAAGTTGACATATAACCTAAAAATTTTCGACGGAGTAAGTGGAAGAAAATCTGTTTGTAAAAAATCTCGTAGAATTTAATTTGATACGTTTACGAACTCTACAGCAGTATTTTTTGAATAAAAATGGCTGAAGAAATACAGAAAAAGATGCAAAAGGAGTTGGAGATATTCAGTGGAGTACAAAAAGAATTTAAAAAAGCCGTATCTCAGAAACAACAGTTAGATAGTCAATTAAATGAAAATAAAGCTGTTAAAGAGGAACTCCTGTTGCTTAAGAAAGATGCAGAAGTATACAAACTTATCGGTCCAGTATTGGTTAAGCAAGATTTGGAAGAAGCTAAACAAAATGTCAACAAACGAATGGAATATATCACTAAAGAAGTAAGGAGGACGGAAGGACATATATCGGCTTTAGAAAACAAACAAGACGCAATACAGACTAACCTTAATAAACTGAAGAATAACTTAGGAAATTTAAAAATTTCTGCTTAAATTTTATTTTACTAAAAATCTATTTAAATGTACTAAGTTATAGCGTTGGCTTTTTACCTAGTTTGGTTTGTACGAAAATTTTAATAAATTTACAATGTACTATAATTATTTTGTTTCAAAACAAATGTTACCTTTGGTCAACAAAACTTCTGTATTTTTAATGCCATATTAATGAGTGTCCTTTTTGATTGATGTGAAGAAAAGTATTTTATATCATAATATGTATAAAATATCCCTGAAATTAAAAATGTATTGAGAATACTAACAAATCAATGTAAAACAACAAATAAAATTAATCTCTCTTTTGTGTTTTGTTTGTATTGCAGAGTTCTCTCACATTTCAGATTCTATCCTCACATATAGAACATGACTTGCCAATTGCCACTTCTGGTATTATTAAAATGAATGTCCAATAATTTTTAGTATCAAAAAGAGTGGTTCACATGATTTTCAATGAGCTTTTGTTTATGCACTTTCAATGAAATTACAGTCTTTCTATTCATTATTTTAAGTCTCTACTTATAGTTAGTCTCTCTCTATTAGTCACCAAACTCTTTTGGTGACTAATCGTTTCATATGAAAATTAACTCATTGAAGATCTCTTTATTTTAATAAATCACAATGACTTCTAAACATATAGACAATTAATATGCCACATCTTGCATAAACGAATGTACAAAGAAGTGGTTTTGTTGTAGTCTTTATTGTCTTTAGGATTTTAAAAAAATCCGACTTTACAATTTATTTATGTTTTCTTAAATAGTTCTTACTAATATCTATGTAGTTGTGGTACTTGGTAGTTTTGAAATGATCAGAAAAAAAAAACAAAAAAAATGGGGATGTCTTTATTGTTTTATTCCATAAATATAAATCCAATTACAATAATGGCACAAATTTGTACCATAATATTTATATCACTGCTCAATATCACTGAAACTGCTCATAAAAAATTAAAAATTGTCATTATGCAATATTACAAACTAGGATATAAATGCAAATATGAAACACACTTCTATATAAAACTTCTGTTTAAATAGCTAAATAGTTTACTTTAAAACAAGGTTTTCTGTAAACATCACAAAAACATCATTGGTTCTTAACTTCTAGGAGTTATATAAATGCTTTTTCTTTGTAAATTATTCTATAACTCTTAAAATATAATATATGTTAGCTTATATATTTAAATTATGAAAATGTGTAATAAATTCTGATAACGATTTTTAATAATTTTATTGATACTTTTTAATATATAAATCAGTCACACAATTCAATACTAATATAATAACTAATAATCTTGGTCCCTTAATTTCATAATAACATGTTAATACTTGTTAATTAAAACATAATTTTATTAAAATAGGCGCAAACCTTACAGCCATCGACAATGGCACAAGAAAACGTATAATTTTTTATGAATAACATCCCAGCATAACTTTTGTCATTTATAAAACTTGTATAAATATATCTTAGAATATAGAATATCAAAAATATATCAAATAGATATATGATCTTTCGGACACTAAAATGTCACATAAAACTTTACTTAATTCTACTCTGAACACAAGGCACACTGCAAAAAGGCATTTCCTGTTTAACGACAAACCTCCCGCTGAGAAGACTCTTGCCGCACATTCTTCCTGAACAAATAAAGCAGTCAGCATGCCAATGCATCGTACTCCATGACACCCCTTGCTGCTCTGGACCAATGACACCACCACATGCACGGCAACGTTCTGCATAGTACTGGTCATAGCAGGACAGGCATATTGGAAGACCAGTTTTATCATCAGGTACATACTTTTTACCGCCCAACGGAGCATCACAATGGTAGCAGCAGAAATGCTGAACATGGAAAGCCCGGCCTTCCGCAGCAGTATATGGCCTTGTAAATATCAACTCGTCGCAACCAGCACATCGAGGTATCTCTAAAACATTAGCCAAGTCTCTGGCACAGTAAATTTCGCCTTTATAGAAGAAGTACACGAGATCTGCTAACAATTCCCCGCATTTGCAGCAAGTGAAACACTGCGGATGCCAGATTGCTTCTTGGCCGGCTCTCTCTGCTTTTACAGCTACTTCTCCAGCGAACATTGCCTTATCACAACGTTGACACGGCACACCTTCGTTGTATAACTTCCTATTGAATTCCATCTCTGCTGGGTTCAAAGACAGGTCAGCAAATTGGGTGAGTATTGGATCAATCTGTTCCGCATATTGGGACACTGGATGGGAGATGCTTTGGAATGTATTTTCAGGTAAAGTGTTCTGATTTTCTATATTCAAGTCGGCGGCACTTGGCGGTGGTAAGCCTCCAGGATATGTACTGTAGTTAGGTAAAGGCGGCGGAGGAAGGCTTTCTTCCGAATGGGTTCTTAAATATTCCCTCAATGGCGCGGTCTGTTGTGGCTCCACTTGGTTCATAGGTTTAGTGGTGGTTGAGTATTGCGGATTTATCTTTGTAGAGCAAATTGTTCCGCTGAGTTCAGGCGTAGTGGGTTCGTGTTTCCAGCTCCAAATCTCGCCATTTGGTGCGAAAATAGTTCCCTTCTGTATCCGACTATCCAGTACCTTTGCAGTACCAATTAAATTATTATTGCTTGTTGGCCACAGATCTGCCATTATTTGAGTCCCGAGAGCTTTGCCAACAAATTCGTTTGTTTCATCCCTGAACTGTGGATTTTTATTATATTCATCACGGAACAATTTGATAGGTTGTAAATAAACATCATTGTTCACTGGCATATTTAAATCATTCAAGTTCTTGAGTAATTTATCGTAGACTGGTCCATGTTCAACTGCACTCTTGATCCTATCAGACTCAATACGCATTACGTTAAGTTTGTCTTTCACAATTCTACTGAGTATCTGGCTCGATTTGTAATCGGGCAAATTAGCTGCACTGCTCACAACATTGCCTTGAGAATCTAAAACAAGCTTCTTATCGGATGCATTCTTTGGCACAATGTTGTATTTCACCCCGCGTGATACATTTGATATTTTCAAAGGCAGAGCATATGATTTAGTAGCACCATGTGTTTTGCTGTTTTCAACTGAATATACTTCGCCGTTTTGCAATGGACCCACTCTTACTACATTGCCCATTCCCACGACATGGTCTTTGATACGTGTGATGTATTCCTGTAAAGAAATTAACTTTATAAGATGGCATTTTTAATATGTAATAATTTAAATCGCTACCTTAATGTGAATCTTGGCATGGTATAAAGTAGTTATTATTCTAGAAAAGTACATAAAAACGTGCTGACCGTATGCTCTGTTTTCTCCTGATCAGTAGCGTGTTGCCTGGCAGCGGTCGCTACATCGTGCGGCGGCAATTGCGTGCGGAGCTGCGCGCGTCGCCGACGCGCTGCCTCTGACCCGGACACCGGCGCCAGCGGGCCCAAGCACGACATGTACTCCGATACCTGACATTTACATTTCATCACTATATGCCACTTCTCTCTCTCTTAAATAATAAACTGTCATCATTACCAATAAGTAACTCAATTAATATTGACAACCTGTGAATCTTACAGTTCACATGGGTGAAGCAGATCAGTGAATCAATGCACAGATCTGTTTAACTTGAACTATGTACCTGCATAGAGCTATGGTTCATGTAAGCTGTGAGCCCTTGGACAGTTTATGGCTCATAAAATTGAATATTTGTTAAAAAAATTAAACATGTCTGTACCAGTCCAAAAAACATCATCATCATCATCTCCTTATCCTA